TTCTGGATTGGAACACTGGCCAGCACCATCTGAACTTCGGTGGGCAAGCGCTGGAGGAATAGGTTGCGGACGAATGTGCTATCTGTGGTGGAAGCGCGTGGTACAGGAAGATTAAGGAATCGACGCAGTAGGTGGCTTGGCCGTTGATTGCCGAGTTGTTCGACAGAGAGTAGATGCTTCAACCGTGTGCGTTCCGAGGGAGTGGTGCAATCCAGTAGGGTGGCCTTAATTAAGTCGTAAGGTGACTTCAGTAGGGCGTATGCGAATTAATGCAGAAGGTCAAAAACCTCATCGATGACAGTCACTAGAAGTACATCGACCACAAGGACGTATTTGCGAGACTGGGACGTGATCCACAAGAGTTTAAAACGGGTCTCTGCTTCAATGAACCACACCGAGGGATTTTGTTCCCAGAACTGTGGCACTCTGATAGTATTTGAAATAACCATGGCAGTTGAATCGGTCTCCGCATCCGCCAAGTTAGTTGAGGCTTGGGGAGGTTCATTGCCAGTGGTTGACATGGCTCCAGGTCATTTTGTTTGATCGGGCACAGGTTACTAGTTGAGGCAAATGTCCGCGGTCACCAATTGTGGAGCACACGTGAGAAAAGCCACTCGACATGTCCTTCTATCGCCAGAGCGTAAAACACACTGGCTTTTTTATTTTCTACGCTCCTCGTGCCAGCCTCGCTGCTGTACCGCACGATTCCTCTTCTTCCTTCGTGACCCAATGCTCAGGATGTTAGTGGCACTACTGACTCAAGTCAAGACACCGTGACAGTCCTTTTTCTCAATTCAGAACACGTGCTTTGCCCCAGTTGATTGCATGTCCCCGTGACACATGCTCAGCCAAAGCACAAAATTTTCGAAGCATCCCACAAGAAATTAAGAAGCTCTTCGTGAAAGAACTGATTTGTGTAGGCTTGTGCGAATATTTGGAAGTTTCAAATATTATAAAAAAATATTACAATATTCAAGTTCAATTTGATTCAAATTTAAATTATTGAAAATTTCAAAGTATTCAAGATTAACGAATAGGTGCATATTAGCTTGCATAAAACTCCTGTACTTGTGGTTTCATTGCAGAGGAGGGATGCTAAGCAGCGAAAGCTCCCATCTAAATGTATCAATTTGCTTGCAACCACTTGCAAAGGTGGTTTCACAGCAGTGAAGGAACACTAAGCCGCAAAAACACCTATTCAGAAGAATACCGAGTGCGGCGAAGCCTTACTTCAAGGTTAAATGAAGATACTACCCTCAAATCAATTGATCATTTTTTGCATTTAAAAGGTTGTTATAAAGGCTTATATGCTTGAAGTATAACAAATTTAAAAAAACATACTTTACAGGCTATCACTTGCATTCTCATGAAAGTCAAATCTTGCTACTATTCAAAGTTCCCACTTCTTTGAAAAAGAAAAAAAAAGGACATTTGCACAGGCATTTGCTTCAACTAAAAAAATTTGGTCATGACAAATATGTTCATTTTTTTTTCTAATATGTAATATACTGTACTCATGACTCCAACTGAGTGCTCTCCACCCAGTGGCCGTGCCTGGAAACGCGATAACAGTGTCAACCTTGAAAGGAGACATGTAACCACATTGTACAGAATGACCACATGTACAGAATTTCGCTATAAACTATTAACTTGCAGATTTTAGAACGATTGACTGTGAGAACATGCGAACTGTGTTAGGAATAAAAATGAGGGTGTGCTGCACCCGTGGGTTCCCTTAGGCCACCGCGATTTTCTTGTACCCGGACAACTGCACCTGCATCATTATGGAAGAAGCTGAAATTGGACGCCCTGCTCACTGACGGCTACGGCACATTGGCAAAGTCCCCAACAACACACTGCATCACGCCAGTTGCGCATAATCGCAGAGTAAATACCAGCTTTAGCGAAAGCGGGAGAGGCTCTCCTTTTTATCATTACTCATTTTGGGCACAGCTCTTCCTATATGCACATCACAGACTGCTTCGTGAAGCAATACCTCATCCGGAATTCTTCTTCATTGTATAATGCTAAATGGTTCAGCTGATACCTCGGGTTTCTGTATAAGGGTGCTGTATTGTGATACAGGTCACCATGCGAGAAACCACCCGCTAATTGCGCAAAGTCCGCCAATGGCACACACGGCACCATTCTGTTTTTTTTTTTTTTTTGATAGGCTGTGGTAACGAAGCGTTGATGCAGCTTCGGTTTTTCTTGTTTGCCCTGCAAAGAACACTGCCAAAAAGTCCTCTTTCAGTGCAAGGAGTCAGGTAAAGAGGCACAAAGGTAGTCCCAGCGCTACCTTAACTTGAAGGAGCACCAAGGAAGGCCTCAGTGAGGGAACCTTAGTAACAAGCCTTCCACAATGCGCGATAAGGTATCCTCAAGCAGTCAAGGCCCCCTCATTGAGGTAAAGGGTATTCCAAAATAGTCAGTTTTGCAAAAAAAAAAAATTCCTATATCTTGCAGTGCATTGCTGTGTAACAGTAGGTGACGCAGCAATGCAGTTTTTTCGTCGCTACACCACGCGCTGCAGGTGTAGCGCGTGGTGTACCAACAGTACACTTACTTGTTTGTGATTCGATTGATTTTCTTTTTTGAATGCATATACCGTGCAGGTTAGAACAATACGCATTATTGCAGATGTGGTTGCAAAATTTCTGATTAATTTGCACACCCCCTTTTCGGAGTTCAAAAATCATAAAAAAAATGCACAAACGATAAGAGTATATACAATATGCACACCGGATAGCATGCTCACTTGTGAAATTACAAAATAATAACTTTCTACTTTTTGTTTGCTTGTGTTAAACCTTCAAATTCTCTAGCCCGTAACTGTAATTCATGTCAACATTTACCCGTAACACAGTTTACATTTGTAATGGACATCAACAACTGAAGAGGCACATTGCGGCAGATTGGAAAGTGGACAAAAAAACTCACCTGCACATGCTATCACATGCGCAGATCAGTGCAGATGATTTGTAAATCAGACACGCATTAGCAGTCTATGTGAGACATAACTGTTCAGGTATTTATTATTTCTTTTTTTTTTTTCACATATTAGACACTTGCTAATTGTCTACTACCTACTCTACTAAGTGTGTGCAGATCACCTGTATATCAGACACGCATTGGCGGTCTATGTGAGACATAACTGTTCAGGTATTTAATACTCCTTTTTTTTTTTCACATATTATACACTTGCTAAGTGTCTACTACCTACTCTACTAAGCATCTGTCTACTCTACTACAGTCAAAACCCGCAATAACGAAACCACGCGAGTACGAAATCCCCACGGCAACGAAATGTTTCCGGATCCCCAGCGAACGTTCGTAGAAGCCCATGTATTTCGTATCTCGCAGCAACGAAATGTTTTTGAAAAGCGATCCCACATTAACGAATTTTCTACCACGGTGCGGGCTTTATGTTACCCTCCCGCCAAAGGTTAACTGTCGAAAATATGCTCATATGCATGTTATGCGCACTCAAAATTTGTAAACGTCTGCTCTTGCCACGGTAGTGTGGGTACCGCCATTTTCGTTTACTTAAACCGGCGATGGGGTCTGTGTCCGGCAACATGCCTGGCCACACTGCAGGTGATGGCAAATAATCATGCTGGAGTGCAGATGGCGCCGTCGAATGAGCTCAACAGGCCGAAGCAACACAAGCAGTTGAAGTCAATCAAAACGACTAAGAGAAGACTGGAACTGGTGGCGAAATCGAGATGAAGTTACAATGGCGCCTGAGAAAAGCTTGACACCGGAAGCAGATTCTCTGTTGATCGCAGAAAAAGAACGGCAACAATATCATCATCATGTTAAGCAGCTTTGCAAGCGGCACCATTAGGGGGCGACACAATTTCATCCTGCATTGCTTCCGTCATTTCGTCACTTCCGTAGCGTCACACACGTGAGCGCCGTGAGTCGTGTTGTGTGTGGCTGTTTCCATCGACATCCCAGATAAACTCCCCATTGATGCGTTCGTTCGTGCCGATGACGTTGTAGTTGTGTACGAGGAAGTGACCGACGAGGCCATTATCGAAAGCGTGCGCGAAGCTGACGACATCGAGGACCAAGAAGAAACGCACGCGGAGTAATCCAACCAGCGGGTTGGTTTGGATGCGCTGGACACCCTTCGCTCCTTCTTCGGTCCACATGACGACGACGTAGCAATGGACCACTTTTTGCAGTGTGAAGAAATAGATTTAAAATTGTTGCATGGCAAGGGTCGGCAAAGTAAGTTGACTGACTTCTGGCAATAAATTTTCGTTCTGCTGGCTGTATCACTGTTTTTGTGTTTCATACTTGGGGCAACAAAATTCTCACGAAAACGAAATTTTTTGGTTTCCCTGCGATTTCGTTATTGCAGGTTTCGACTGTACCTGCATGCCAAACCTTAGACGTGTTTCTCTATTCCTGGGCCTGCATAAAACTGAACAGTCATCGAACTTAGACATGCACTAATTTACACTCTTGACAATAAAAAAATTGGTTTGTGAACATTCAGTTAAAAGCCGCTTATGCTCCATTATTCCCAGATTAAAACAGCGGAGAGTCTGCTCTATGTAGGAATGGCTGCAGCTACAAGGAAATTTATGCACTGTACTTGCACAGCAATCAGTAAACTCGCTCGTTTGTTCTACAAAATAAAGTCAGCCGTGTTTTGTTTATTACGCCCTCATTTGTTTTCTGCATGGCAGAGTATATATTAACTAGGCTTATTAAAAGCCACGACAATGTTAAGTGTGACACAGCTGTTTGCTTACTGCAAGGCTTCCTGCTTTGTTGTAGTATGGAGTTGGCGAGGTGTCCCCCTAACAAGTGTTTCTCAAGGCACACTGTTTTTCTAATTGGACAGGGTAGCATTTCAAGTTTGCTTGGGATTAGCAATATGTTAGCATGTTCTGTAATGCCACTGCCACAAATGCAGCAACTTTTGGCCTCTCGAATTCTTTGCATACGTTTCCCACTAATTCATGTCACACAGAAGACACACTCACCTGTCAGCCAAGGCCTGTGAAGGGGGCATTGTCTCGTAGAGGTCAAGCAAAAAGCACATGGTTTTCCAGCAGCGTGGTGTGCTCGTCTGCACCGGTGCGACCGACTCATGGCTGCCACCTGGATGCGGCTGTGGCATGGGCACGACGACCGAGTCAGCCCGAGGTCGACGGCACTGAAGTTCTAGGCGGGTCTCCTTCACATTCTCGTACATGCTAGAGAACTGGTTCAACAGTCGCAGTAAAGGCATGTTCACTTGCTGCGCCACATACTGCACATCTACTGCCACGTGAGCACAGGTGCCTGGGTTTCCCGGGTGACGCACATCAAGCTCCAAAGCCAGCCGGTCGCACACCAGTGCAGGCGTGTCTGTGCTCGTGTCCACAAAGAGCCGCTGGCCGGGCTTGGACCGTCTTCTCTGTGGCTGTTCCAAACTCTCCGATTCCACAAGGTCGACACGCAGAAGCTCAACCAAGGTGGACAGTGCCAGACGTGGCCCTGGTGTCTGCAAGGCCACGGTACAGGCTCCCAGCAGCTGCAAGAGTGGCTCGAAGACAGTTTGGGCATCGGGGATCCCCCCTGTGGGCATGGCCGACTCGCGTGGTGCACTGCGACTCGACGGCGAGTCGAGAGGTGACGAAGGTCCTCTCTGACGGGCCATCCAGTTGTACAGGTCCTCGTCGTCATTTGCCGGATCCAGGGAGGAGCGCAGAATGGGCTCGACACTGGAAAAGCTCCAGGTGGCCAGGCTGTGACGCGAGCCACGCAGACGGCCACTGTTAGCCACCATGCACGAGATGCCATGCTCCAATGTTTTGCCAAGATAAAGCATGCCCCCATAGTGCAATGGGGAGTCCAGGGGTGCACCAAGCAGCGGGAACGCTCCTGGTCGGCTCACTTTAGCCTCCTGTGAGCACAGTGCCCGACATCACATGGAGCAAGTCATGCTGATTGTGTGTGCTGTTTAATTTAGCAAGATCAAGTGACTAACTTCAGAAGCAATGAAGCTGAGCAAAAAAATTCTAATGAGAAAGTTGTACATCAGCTTACCAAACATCCATACAGAAAGTTTTGACCCGCAGGTCGCGGGATCAAATCCCGGCTGCGGCGTCTGCATTTGCGATGGAGGCGGGAATGTTGTAGGCCCGTGTGCTCAGATTTGGGTGCACGATAAAGAACTCCAGGTGGTGAAACATTTCCGGAGCCCTCCACTACGGGGTCTCTCATAATCATATTGTGGTTTTTGGAACGTTAAACCCCACAAATCAATACAGACAGTTTCTAACTTTCTATCCATGTATTACTGTTTCCCTGCTTACCACAAATGCTTTCAAGGTACAGGAAAAAATATGCCACCTAGAATGCCGATTCATGCACCCATGCACGTTATGATTGCAGTTCTCCCAAACATTGTGCCACAGGCCTACTGTGGAACAACGCCTACTGCCTACTGCGCTGCAGTTTGAAAGGCAACAAGGTAGAGACGATCATGGTGTATATAGTGCATCTGGTACTTGTTGCTGTACAAGCAATAACTGCTGCACCTGCTTGTCACTGTCATGAAACACCCTGATGGAGACGCATCATTTGTACATGAAGTGTTAAAAAGCACTGCAGTCTTGGTGAGAACATCACGCATTATATTTCTGCAGTTTGCAAGCACTGGCACCGCGGACGACATGGCACATCAAAACAATTTTATGATGCCCCAGCTTGCAACGAGACTGACACATACTAGTGGTGGACTTGCACACTCCTACCATTCAGTCTTCTTTGCCACTTCTATGCAATGGGCTTCAGGCCTGAGCCGACCACCCTACCTCGGCTGCTAGATCTGAGGACTTTAGCACTGTTCACTATTAAGACTTGAACAGTGAATCAAATTTGGATGTATATCTTTGATACCACAAATTAAAATGCCAAAGAACAGGATTACAAAAATAAAAAGAAAGAAAGTTAATAGTGAACAGTATTGAGTAAAGCAAGACAGTGCCAGGCTCTTGGTTCACTTTGGCAGTTTTTGAAGGTTTTACAATGTTTAAGGTATTCATGTATATTTGCTATGCCCATACTGTTGCGCCCCCTCGTGGAATTTGGGAGCGTCCTCTCGAGGATGGTCAGTAGGCAGAGACGCTCCCTCATTTGGCTATGCTAGCCTCAGCATGAACGCATTACCAAGAAACGAAAGCTAACCACTTTGCATGTTTCATGCACCAGTAAATAAACCGTACCGTTTGTGATATGATAAATCTGATTCGTTCTTGCGAGACGCAAAGTTTTAATGAAAATATGCGCAACTCTCGCCTTCGGCTACAAGCCACAGAGTGCACATACCAGCTTCGTGATATTTTTCGTAACCACTGTGGGGATCTGAGGCGCGCCCGCGACTACTTCGCGGGCATTCCTCCGTACGGCCGCTCCCTTTCTCTTTCCCTGCTCTGGCAACGTTGCTTGGCAATAGATGGCGCCATGCGCAGGCGTGGCACATGTTCTTAGGGGCTGCGAGAATCGGGAGGCCGAGTCACGTGCGCGCCGAAAAAAGTCTCTTCTCCATGACTGGCGCCGTGTAAGCACGTGTTTCCTTTGTCTGCGTCCCCTTTGGCAATCGCCGGACTGTAGCCAGCCTGGGGGCCTTGGCATACCAGCAGGCGTGTTTAATTGAGTGCTAGCTTCGGTACCGTACCCTAAGCCAACAGCGGTACCTAGTGCTTGAAGTGGTCGCACCACACCAAGCCGCACTTGCCGTAGGCCTACGCATACAAGGTTTGCCTTAACTCTCACAACCAGGCCTAGTGGCCATCGTGAGAGTGCGCAGCATAGCTGCGAGGGGCCTTTTTCCGACCGGCGTGTCAAAGCTCGCCATTGCCAGCTGCGACATGCTCGCGGTTTCCCCTTATCATGAACGTCCGCGTGCAGGAGCCTTGGCTCTCCGCGTCTTCTAAAACATTAATGAAATACACCAGCGTGGCCACACAGCAATTGGAAGGAGATTTTTTTGTATTTTCTTTCACATTTATTGTTTTGCTTGTTCTTTCTGCTTTTTCTATACTTCTAGAAAACACTGAACCTTCAACTGGAGGTAAGCCCTCGTCTTCATTATTTATGTGCCGATCTGCTTCTCTCCACGTGGAGACGCCACTCCTCCTTTCTCGTCACACACTGGCCACGCTGCGGCTGCGTTGCAGAGACGCAGTCGTTGTCATCGTTTTTTGAAAGTGTCGGCGCTGGACGTTGCTGCGCAAAACTCCTTTTGTCAGGGGAATGCTGAAGCAGAAGTAAAAATGCTTTGCAAGCTGCGTGCGAAATAGACTCGCAGCAAGGCAAACACGTGCAGATGCGCTTTACCGATTATGTTCAATTAATGACGGATGCCCTGTTAACAATGAATAAATGTAAGACTTCCAAAACTTCCCCCTCGTGTGTTAGCTCAATGCACATGTGCCACTGCATGGTGAACCCTTCGTTCATTTAGCTTTCTTTAATTTTAACTTCCACGAACAAATTTTCGGGCCCCTTCGAGTTTGAATTATTGAGATTCAACTGTATCTGTAAATATGGCGTTATTAACAATTCTGTGCAGTGTAAGCCTCCATTGTAATGCCTTAATGGTACTCAGGGTACTGTGATAAAATAATGAATAAATTTAATTGTAAGTTTCAATGTGCTGCCAATTTAAATATTGCCACCATTGATGAACGAGCCGCTCTGGCTCATACTCGTTTTTGGGACCGCAAAGAAGAAGAGAACATTTTGGTTGCTCTGGTTCAGGTGAACTCCTGGCTGTAGGTCTTGTTTTGCTCGTGACATTACTGGTGGAGACGCTCGGTACATATACTTCGGCTGTGTTGGCCATCTTGGAGACAGCTATATCTCCCAGAGCAAGAAGCAGCCGCCACCTGCGTGGGTTACCCCCTGAATTTGGTCTCTTGGCATCGACACCCAGAAAGATGGCAACTCCTATGACAAGCCAGGCGGTCCAAACCAGCGACGCCCATGGCTCTCTTCTCGCACATGTTGTTGATTGATATGTGGGGTTTAACGTCCCAAAACCACCATATGATTATGAGAGACGCCTCTCGCACACGTTGTTCATGCGCCACAGACACCAAAGTCGTTCTATGGAGACATCTTCGAAGATGTTGATGACTGGCTCGACCACTTTAATCGGGTCACAAGTATCAATGAATGGGACGATGTTCGCAAGCTGTGCCGAGTTTACTTCTACTTGGAGTATTCTTCAAATATGTGGTACGAGAACCACGAGGGCTCCTTTGCAACCTGGCAAGATTTTAGCCAACAGCTCCGTGACGCCTATCCCAATACCGAGAGAAAGGAGAGGGCTGAACAAGCCATATCCTGCAGAAGCCAGCTGCCGAATGAACGAGTATCCATGTTTGTCGAGGACCTGCTTCGGCTCTTCAAGCACGCGGACCCTGCCATGCCCGAGGAAAAGAAAATGCGGCATTTGATGCACGGAGTAAAAGAACAGCTTTTCGCTGGACTCGTGTGCAATCCACCGACGACAGTCGCCCAGTTAATCAGTCAGGCAACCAGGATGGAACGTACACTGCAGCAGCGGTCGCCACAATACGAACACCAGATGTCGACCACCGCATGCTCTATCGGCTCTGAAAGCGAGAGACAGGCCCTCGCAGACTTCATTCGAAGTATCGTTCGGGACGAATCGCGACAGCTTCAGGCAGTGGGATCCCATCCACCTGTGTCAGCCCTCACGGATGTGATCAGACAAGAAGTCCGGCAGGCCGTCACACCCCTGACCCCAATCGCACCACCCATTCCCGAGGCCCCAGTCCTGACATACGTGGCGGCATCGCGATCCCCTGCGCCACCGGCTACAGATCCTGCTTTGCGGCCAAGGTACCTGCTATCTTTGCTATGAATTTACATTAATTGTATGGCTTTTTTCTTTCATATTACGCTCAAGTGTGCAGTGGCACACTGCTCACAGCTAGCACTTGCAATGAGTGTGCTTGGAGTGTGGCCAAACAGATGCCTCTAGTTTACAGCTGGTCAAGTGGACATTAGCTATAGGTTTGTGATGCTTTGCTAGCCAGGATTCTCGAAACTTGTGTGAAAACTTGCATGCTTTTTTGTTTCTGTCAGCATGGCCAACAGCGAGCATTTTGTACTTTACTTTAATTTAAGCAACAGTAATATACTTTGGTTTGATGCAAGCTTGTTTGCGCTTCACTCCCGAAGTACTTAGGCTATCACCTAGAGGTATTGTTATGAGATAACTCTTTTTTTAGAGGGTAGGTACTACTATGCTGAAAAATAAACACCTCCACCCCACACAGGTCAACAATGCTAAAACCTGCCACCTACCCTGGTCACTTGTGCAGCCCCCGTAGCATCGTCGGCCAGCAGGCACGCCGTTTCGTCGGACGGGAGTTCATCCTCGCGCAAGGGCACCCCCACCAGGTGGGCTGGGGGCTCGGGACGAGTGCGTTTGCGAATCCGGCTGTTCTGCTCCACCAGCAGCGGCATGTAGAGCAGGTGTTTCCACTGGCGGCTCAGGGCCAAGAGACCGCGTCGCAGCGTGCTCAGTGGGGGCACACACTGAGCTCCAAGGCATTGCTCGGCACTGGGTGCCTCCGGCAAGAAACGACAAAGTGCCGACAACAACTGGCATGACGGCTCTTCCTGCATCAGCAAGCAGAGCACAATCCTTGCCTCAGGGTACATCAACTACTACAGAACATGGCTCTGCTTTCATTCAGACTCCCGCACTCTTGCACATGTAGTAACCTCACCACTTCTTTCAATCCAAGCATCAGTCTGATCTACGACCTAAGATTTACTTCCTTCTGAAGGAAAAATGGACTGAAGCGATTCAGGTGTATGCATTCCCTACAAAAAAAGGACTGGATAGGATGCCATGAGAGAACTTTTAAATGTGTTGACCACTGTCCAATGACATATGCCCACATGTGGAGGCTATTTGTTGAATTATTCTGACACGAATTGAGGTGCTGCATGTGCACTGCAAAGAGTAGGGACCACAGCACTGAAAGTATGACGACACAATTCAATATAAATAGATCTGGATGCATGTAAACCACTGATGGACTTCAGCCAACTTCTTTCTCCAGGGGAAACCAGTCGTCGTCAAGGCTGCGTGGAAGACGTGCTAGTGAGAGAGAAGACAGCAGCAGCAGTGTGTTGAATTCATCAGCCACATCTAAAGGGATGGCCACATGACTCACATCAGAAGTGGCCTCCACCTGAATGAAACAAACAGCAGTCCTCTAGGACCAGAATGGCCACAGGTAAAGAATGTACAACTGCGGCTGATGTGAATCTACTGTCAATATATATGGGGGGCCAAAACTGGGTCCACAATAATGTCACATGAACCAATCAGCAGAAACCTCCAAATTTTTTGCACAAGGACTAGTGTGGTCCCAACTTGATAGGTTCTGGTGCATGATGACAGCAACATCATCTCTTGTTACTGAGTTCACTTGTAACTTGTTCCTTGATCGCTCTCCTACTTCTGTTAGACCTCCATGCTTGTAAATTCTCTTGTCCATACCTTCACAAAATCTTTTTCTCAATTTTACACTGTGATGAATGTCTATGCTATGCTGCCATCCTGGGGCATAACCGATGCCATCGGTATTGGCATGAAGGAAAGAAGTGTAAACAACAAAGCACTCGTTGTCTCTGCTAGACACAACATTAACAAGAACTAAGAGACAATGATGCCTATACCCCTCTTGGCATCACTGTCTGTTAGTTTTCATTAATCCATATTTGGAGGCAGATAATTTATAACAACTAATTTGGAAAATATTTTGACCATCTACAAACAGAATATCAACAGATTAACTTGCAAAAGCAAAGCTTAACAACATTTCACAGCAACACACAAGAAAGAAAAAGACCTTGAATTGCGACGAAATGCAAGCTATCATTTGAGCTGGAAACAGCAGTTGTGATGTGTTTATCAGAGAAATGAAAATGAACCAGAACACAAAATTGAGGAGGTACTAACACTCCTGTAAAGTCGCTTGCACCTCATGGTGCATGTGTTTCGCGCATAGGCCGCATTTTGGGTTCACAACTATTGAGCGGTAGGTGGTGTGCTCGCGAGCGTTTACTACCACCATCATCATCATGGTCAGTGCGGTGGCGTCTGCAGTGATGCCTCGCGCAAACCTGGGTTGCGGCACATGAGAGATGAGCGGTCGTTCTTGTGTGCGTCAGTTGAAGCAAGCGGTCCGCAGTAGACCGTATCGCGGGTCGTCTGGCATGGGCATTCGTGGTGAGCCGAGCGTTGGCGACACAGCCTTGTGTTTGCTATGTTGTTAAGCGTTGTGGAATTTTGTGTATGGTTGTTTTAGCATGTGGATTACAATTGATGTACATTAATTCAGCTGACGATATTGTCTATCTAAAAGCAGTTGAATAAATCTGTTTTACTCTGGTTGGGTTCGACTGTGTCTACTGCGTCCGTTCACTCCAACAGCGTGGAGCTCTCCCTATCGAGACCCCTCAGAATATAGTGTTGCTTGCCACTAATTGCAGTGAGCATACCACAACATGTGGATCGCAGCAGCAATGTTGTATATCGAATCACACTTTCATGTAGTGATGTTATGTAGGCCACACGAGAAAGTGTCTAAATGACTAGCTTTTGTGAGCACAGCAATAATGTATGCAATGCTACAGAAAAATTCATCACTATTAACTGCCATTTGGGGCTTGCCACCCAATGTTAGAAAAAACAACAATCTTTGACGGCCATCAAGATTGACTTGAGCAGCTTGTGACAAACATGAAGATACAAGCAAGGCATTGATAATCAAACCTTTGAAGATAGCATTCATATCAATTATCTGTTGTTTGCTTGTGTCTTTGTATTTTGCACAACCTTTTCAAGTATACAATCTTACAAACTCTCCCAAATTTTCATTTTGAAAATCGAAATCAATGCACAAAATAATTGAAGCCACCCAAATGGCATGTGAAGGCTAATCATGTCTGTCTGTCTGGGCAGAAAGTATTGTCAGTTCTGGAGGAGTCTGGAGGAGAATGTGAGATTATGTAATAAAATGATGTCACACTTTTATGTTTCTTTCATCAATAAAATTTTCTCAACTATATATCTTTCGTGTGAAATAAAAGTTCAGTTGAAAGTTGCCCGTGTAATTTTCTCTGGTCCCCGTGTAAAAAAATGTGCTCTTTCCATTCAGCAGATGTTAAGGGATCTTTTCAACCAGCCTGATGAATGTCAACTTGCTGTGAAATAGGATCTAGGTGCTTGAGCACAAATGACTGCAAAGTCCTTTGTTGCCTGACACAGCTAAAGTAGTGGAAACACTTGACCTAAATCTCAGAAACAAGTGCAATAGTGAGTAGTATGCACAAGCTTCTTCACTCAAAATTCTCCAACTGCTCTTGTTTAGGACTATTCCTAACATTAATATGTGCTTTACAGACATCCACACGGTGGCAATAAATGGGGGCGGATGTAGTACTACAAGCAGCAACTTTTCCAGACGTTTTAATCTCCTTACTCAGTAGACTTCAGTGGCTCTTAGCGGATGCTGGCTTGTTTCCATATGGTGCAAAATGATAAAAGATGAGATTGCAAGCAGCAGATTGCAGCATTTCCGTGCACGACGGTCCCTGCCACGGCATTAATAAAATATTTGTACCGCAGCTGAGACAAGCAAAGAAAAAAGAATGAGACAGGATAGGGCACCAGTACTACAAATGCACCTTTAAGAGTGCCATTTCTTGGGCGAGTTAGAAATTCATAGCTTACTAAAATATCGCACGAGTTGGAATCCACCCCTCGGCAGTTATTAACCCTAACTGCGGCCTATTTGCGGGACATCTGTGCGCCACAAGGCAAAAACTACATACCTCCAGGATTAATTCAAACCATATCCCGAAAAAAAAAGTAAAAAAAAGCAAGAGGGTGTGTTTGGCGTATGCATCGCTAGTGACGTTTGATTCGGCTGACAATATCGTTGATATAAAAGTAGTTCAATAAATGTGGTGTTTGGTTTGGTCCGACTGCGACTGCCTTGTCCGTTCGCTCCGAGAACACGTATTCTCATTCCGAGACTCCACGTCCTATTGCGCGTTTGTATGCCTTGCGAATGAGACAGTATAGTTTGGTTTGTTCAGTCACCAGCCATTTGAGATGGGAGCCAAAGTACGTGATGCGAGTCATAACAAAAGTCTGTACCAGATGGATAGTATTGCTTTCCAAGAAAAGAAAAAAAAGAAACAAAAAAAGATGCACGCTCGCGCGACACAGCGACACATCAAGTCAGTGACACGGCTGCTACACCAAAAAAAAAAAAAAGGTTAGCGGCCATGCCAGCACACTTCAACGCTTCAAAGCGTTTCATTGATGCTATTTTCAATCGTTATTTCATGGACGTAAGAGGGAGAGAGAAAGAAAATATGCGCGAGCCTGCATGTGTTTACACTTGGGCTAAATGACACTGATTTCATTCTGCTGGCTGCCACTGCGGCCTCTTTCATCATGTAGTGAAACAATGCCAACAGTTGACTGCTTGGAGATTGTGAAGCTGCTAACACCTCCTGTAAAGTTGTCTATGCCTCGTAGTGCACATGTTTTGCGCATAGGCCGCATTTCAGGTTCACAAGTACCGAGCGGTAAGTGGCATAAGCTCGCGAGCGTTTGTTATCACCACCATCATCATGATGATTAGAACGGTGGGGCCGGCAATGACGTCTGGCAGCAAGCTTTGGTGGTGACACAGGAAAGACGAGCGGGGCTCTTTGGCAGGTGGCGGTTGGTGCAAACGATTGTCTGTAGCGGTGGGTTCCCGGGTTACACGCCGGGGGCCCTCGCGGTAACTCAAGCGTTGGCGAAGTTGCCTTTAGTGTGTTCTTGTGTTTGTTACGTTGTTGAATGTTGTGTAATTTTGTGTAAGGCTGTTTTAGCGTGTTGATCCCAATTGATGCCTATTGATTCGGCTGACAATATCGTTTTAAAAGTAGTTAAATAAATGTATGTATTCTTTGGTTTGGTCCAATCATGCCAACTGCGTCCGGTCACTCCAAGAGCGTGGCATGGTGCTCGCTCGCCATATTGAGACCCCACAAGTGTTAGAGAGCTCGTGTCGCAGAAATTTCGTCGTCGGCGTCGGCATAGTTGGTTGTGAGCGAAAAGTTGTCCGTGAGCGATAAATCGAGAAAGAAGCAAATAAAATAAAGAATAAAATTTTCCATCTTGTTGAGGATCGAATCCGGGCCGCAAGCGTTGCAAGCAGGTGTCCTACCACAAAGCTTTGATGGTACTTGGAGCTGCTTTGGAAAAAAACACTACATAAATGCCATGTAGTAGAAGGAGTCTTCTTAATGCATTTTGTTCGACAGGTGTCACAATGAAAACAAGCCCATTGGGCGATTTCTAGGTGCACTTAAAAGGCCATCAAACTACATGAAAAAAGGCCAGGATAGTGCAGCCATTGCCGCTAAAAACACACAGAAACTTTCAAACAGTTCTAAAAATGGACAACTATGTCCATCTAGCAGAAAACATATCATGCTTTTTTAGAGGCGTTGGCCAAGCAAATAGCAAATGCTAGATAATGTGCTGCCATCTGTGAGGCATTTTGAGACTCTTTATGACACTGAGATGGCGAGCGCACGGC